ATACGACAGGGCGCAAATGGTAGAGTATGATATAACGCGTGTTCAAAATATAAATTATAATCAATACTACTTATAAAGAATATACAAATTTCCACTAAAACAATGCAGGAAGATAATAATAACAGTTTTCTTTACGAATGTATGCGGTAAAAGCGTAGACTAAATGTGTATAGGGTTTTTAAATTTTTTGAATTCTATTTACCTTTAGCATTGCAGATGAAATCAATGGTAAATGTTACGGAATTAATTATAGCGTTAGCGGTCCGGAACGGCTTTAATGTGGTAATGCTGGATTCTATTTCCATATAATAATAATAATGGCCATTGTAGATGTATAAAACCCGCATTGGAGTGCGGGCTCTAGTTGGATAATATAACTCATGAAGATTTATTGTAGTAAAATAAAAAAGTGCGCCAAAATTAGTCAATAGCGCGATAGTAAAAATGTTTTCCATATGCTCCGAAATTATACGCGCTATGTATTTTCAAATCTTTCATTTAAAATGACATACAAAATGCGGCTTTATATAGGATTTAAAGGAAAATGTTTTTCAGCTAGCTAAAAGAAGCTTCACTATTGGGAACTGACGATAAGAATTATCGGAAATAAATGCAAATATACTAAAACGATTTCGGAGAGTTTTCGCCTTCTGAGACCTTTAACGTCGTAAAGTTAAGATTTGGTCCCTGAAGCGGTATATGCTAGAATCGTACTTGGAATTAATGATAGTCAATTATACCTAAACACTTCTAATTTTACTAGTTAACTATGTAATTAAACACAACGCATTTCCTGATAATCGTTTTAGTTATAACTTTTAAAGAAAAAAAAATAAATGTCTAAATATAAGAGAATAATAATGTTTTATGCCTATTTTATATTCCCGGCACAAATCACAGTTGAAATATTTTTTATTCGCAATTTCCGGTCGCGATTTCGGGCTTATCCAAACGATCAAAGTTAGAGACAACCGCTGAGCCATCCGTTGTAAATAAAACCTTCATAAATCCGAAAGTGGAAAGTTGGAAACGAGAGCGCCATAACCACCAACTTATTCTGCCCGTAATTTATTATAATAAGAAATTCTTTCATTTCTGGCGCAGGTAGGTATGCATGATCTGTAATCTTACAAATTTCCTTCCTCTCGTGCGCGCCCGTCGCCGGGAGATAAAAGTATGTTCCAAGCGATAAAATTCTCCACAAATCTCCGCCGAATTGTCCTCCTTCTACGGTAAAAGACCCAAAAAAAAAGGCTGAAAGCGAGACCTGCCTGCACAAATCTTTTAACGCTCCGAATGGTCTTAATGCGCCATTTAAAACTTTAAATTTAACGTTTTCGAGTCCGGAAAATTTAAAATCGCCGTGTTTAGCTGTATACAGGTATAACGGCTTTTACGATTCATAAGGCATACAAAACGTTTTATTCGTTATTCTATTTTCGTTCATTCGATTCAAATGCGGAATACAAAATAATAAAGTCTCTCGGAATATGATTTCACCAAGAGGAAGAGACTCATTTTGAGATTGAAAAATTCATAGAAAACAACAATATGAATAACATAATATTCAATAACAATTATTCATTAACAACTCCCCGAGACAATTTCCTCGGCAGGAGAAACACGATCCCCTTCGAGGCCCTTTCCCGAACTTCTTATAGTAACCCGAAAATTTCAATAACTCAGACCGAAAGCACGTGATTCAATGGGCGCCCGCATTTTCCTGGGAATCTGGTAACATAAATCGCGCGACGCCGCCGATGCATCACGCTGTGCGTATGCAGCTCAGCCGCCATAGGAAATTGCATCGGCGATGTAGAATCCCGCCGATCCTCCTGGCGTGCGGGCCTGCACTGAACAGATGACATTCCTTTTGTGCGACCTCGGTGATCAATAGGAAGACAACAAAACGGACCGGAGAAAAACCGGGCGTTTCGAAAAAAACCCACGTCCAATTATTGGAGCCATAATTTAAGCAATTGATAGCGAATAATAAAGGGGAGACCTATAATATTCTGAAATCTTCATATTTTATTTCGTACTATTCTACCAAGCACTTCTTTGACCTCCAAATATGGTAATAAATCATGTAAACGTATACGCAAATAAGATGTATCTGAATACTTATCTACACGTTTTCAGATTTTTCAGTTTCATCAATAATCCAGTGATCGATCGGATGTGATTTCCCGTCTAAAGCCGGATATTCCGATTGCACTCGGCTCGACAAGAAGACAGGTGCAATTCGGAGAATTATTAAATGATGTAAGAGAACAAACGCTAAATCCGCTAGCCGGAATACGTTGATCTGATGCGATCGCATCGCAGCGATCAACGCGTGTAAATGTGACTTTCCGGGTGTTTCTAAAATTTATTTCCTTCAACAATACGAGGATATAAAGGGGATTTGGAAAACTCGAAGCGCCGATGTTAAATGTCTAAAGAAGCCAGGCATCGTCGACGCAAAAATCTTTTAAGGACAATCTCTTGTCTACCTCTATGGGACTCGTGCAGATTAGAGATCTCCTACAACTTTCGAATGCTCGATGATGACTAAAATTTATATTCCCTACTTGTTAAAATCATCCTGAAAGGGTTCATTAGGTGATGAATTTACCAACCCAATTCTACCCTCAAAAAGATAAAAAAAAAGTCTATAAAATTCTAGTCAATATCAATTCACAGAAATTTGTTGTACGTATAATGAAATTTATCCATTTAGTTATTGCAAAAAGTAAATATATCTTGTCTGAATTGGAAGTAAGTGAGGAACAAAGTCCCGAGGAAATAAACAAAAGGAGCGGCTTTCCGCCTTGAAGAATTGCCAGATTTGTGTTTCAGATATGTGAAAGGCATTTTTCTTTGGCCCCGTTTCGAAACTTAAAGCATTCATAACTCACATCAATTTTTTCCCGAACGTATACGTCGCGGATATATGCGGGAAACGAGTTGTACCGTGCCAGTGATGAAATTGGACGGTTCGCTACTTTAACTTTTCATTGATTTTTATATCGGGGTGATGATATTAAAACTTGAGCAATTTAACAAAATCCATCAGGCTTGATTTATTACTTCGGATTTTTCAGCGCGAGGGCCATCGCTAAATGCGGTTTTAAAAATTGTTAAAGGGCGATAATAAATCTCAGCTCGATGCGAATCGATTTGTTGTGGTAATTAAAATGCGTACAAGGGCTTTATACCAATAAATACGCACGCGAATAAATCTCTTTTGAATATAAGAATACCATTTGCCACGTCAATACTTTGAGCTCATAGATTTCAAATTAAATTTGAACGGTATCGGGGATGAAAGCCGAGGTCTAGGCAGCCGCTATATACACCCCATCGTGGAAATATTAGATCCTCGAGATCAAAAAAGGATGCATCATCGAACATTTTGAAATGCTCATTTCGAAGAGTGCATCTGCATGTCATTATAATATCCAGGGGCGTTTACGAACGGCCCAAAAATATAACCGATTCCGCGAATATAAAAACTCATTTTTCGCAAATGGATTGGATTTTAATGAAATTAACGCGAAATAAAACATCTAATTTCCGACCAGTTGAATACTATTAACAATTCAAAAAAAGGAAACATCGAATTGTTGTTTAAAATTTGCTGTTGTGTGCTTATAGTACATGAACCGTAAATCCCTTGTTCAATTTTCGGATATATGAGAAATGCCATCATTTCAGCGTAATACATTTCTCTAATAAACCTCCACCTGTTCCACCTACATCAGTAATTATCTTGAGTAAGATTTCATCTGTTGAAAACCAACCATGCAAGAAAACCTATTTCGTATATAATTATACAAGGCTGTTCTAATCTGGAATAGAAATCCCGACGAGGTTTCTCTCGAGAAAAAAATTTTATGCCAGTTTTTCGCTTCGTGAATAACGAAACGTGAATAATAAATTAATTAAACAATTTAACAATAGAGGAAAAAATTAATTAGCGTCTTTGTATCTCAGCAGGAACTGATTCCAAAAAAAAGAGCTTCCTCATGAAATTTTAATTGCAAGAGTTACTCTCACAAAAGGATTTTCCGCGATAGACAATGAGTTAGAATTTGAAAAAATTACTCAGTAATTGTTTCCGTCGCGACTTTAAATTTTTAATCTATTTAAGGAATTTTTTAACGTTGTTTTTGGTAAGTATTTACCTACACACTCGTAACGAAAACATTTAATTCACCGTGCGAATTTTACCTATAGGACGTTTTTTTTTCTTTCGAATTACTCGAGGAATATCTGCAATTCAAAAGGGAAAGAGGACAAACCGTAAGGTACACACGTAACACATCTCCGCCTTTCATCGACACTTCCTTCCTTCGCGATTCCTTATCAGCACCTCGAGGATGAATGAATGGCTGATCTCCGGTAACCATCAATATATCATCGCCGGTGACACGGAACTAATGCTGTCGGCTCCTTCACGGATAACCTTACGGCGAGAGAAGACGACGAATGCGAAGAAAACGTTATCCGAAGCGTATTCCGGATTAATTATGATATTTGGAAAAGGAAGCGGGAAAACCTCCGATGGGAAACACGGTTCTTTTCTCCCGCGGAATGTTTTAATAAAACTGACACCACAACACGATCCACAAAGTCTAATTAGCAAGCAAAATTAAGGCTAGCGTATAATTTTTTTAATGAATTCAAACTCTACCGTTGATGAAAAGAATTGGTAAAGATTTCGTACGATTAATTGCGAGTATTTCAGATAGGTATCGTGTTTGATTTAACGTTAACAAAGAGAAGCCTATAGACGACAGCCGTTAATTTTGATAATGAGTCACGCATAATAATTTGTTGGAATCAAATCCGGCCCGGCTAATCTTTACAAAGCGTACACGCGTCTCGTCCTGAGGGAGATGAATTTTCGGCATTTGCTTCATTATCCGGTAAATGATGGTCTCTCCGTAACGAAGCGTAGTATTAACGTCGAGAGGAAAAAATACTACAATGCTCCATATAACGTGCAATATATTTTAAGTCGGTCCAAAGGAAACGTTACTGCAATGTGGAACGTTAAGCGTATCTTTCAGCGTCGACCTGAAATATTTAAGTACTCCTATAAGGACTATTTCGTCCTATATTATTTCTTTATTGCCGTGCATCCAATCAATCTTTTTGATTATTTTCTTGGCGCATAAATACCAGCTTCTTCGGACGATGATGTTTAGGATGATATTTTAAAAAGGTATATAGGTACTTATTTGCATGGGAGCGTGCGTGCAAAAAAGTACGGATAAATCGATAGTGATTACGGTTATAAAAGAAACCTTTCAGCCATAAGCATACGCGGAGCCATTTTAACGCCCCCTTAGACATCGGAAAACACTCTTATTCATATTTATTCGGCGATACCGTAGACACTAACCGAAAATTTCACTCCGACCCGAAACGAGCCATTGTTCCTGCGCCGCACCTGAAATGCTCCGCCGTAACTTTCTCCGGGGAAACGTCAAATTATAACGAACATATTTCTCAATTTCTCTCGCCCTCATCCCGGGCGATGTTTAAGATCTCGTCCGCATCAGCGTAACAGCAGGTCGGGGTTTTCCTACAGCCGCAGAAAGGATAAACTCGCCCGAATATACCGTTGTTGAGAGATTTTGTTTAATTTGTTCGCCGCTTAATTTTATTTAAATGTTCTTCGGGGTAGCAGTGTTACAATAGATTTAAAAAAAAAATCATTTCGCGCTATCCACAATGGGATAACGCAAGGGCGAACTACCCTCTTCGACCTCGAACATGTAAGAGTTAACCCTGTAACATCCGACGTCGACGTGAGATTTTTACCGTCGACCCGCATTTGCATAATTTTTTTTTCAACGTATTCGCGATAGCATTCGCTATAGCAACGGCGCGAGGACATGTTGCTTTAACAGGAAATTGGCACCCGCATCCGTTTCCTGAAATTTCGCAGAGGTTGAGGTCTATCAAAATAACGGCGGATATAAAGGGTTCTCTCTCCGTGCGAGGCAGTTTTTTCGCAAAGTAAACTCCGATACTCCGGCGCTAGATGATTAGACTTTTATCTGGGAAATGGGTCGGGCGAAGCGCGCGAAATTATCGAATTTATTTGCCTACGCTTCGTTCGAAAACTAAAACCATTATGCCTGTTCGGGAACGGTAAATAGAGAAGCGCGAGTATCGGAGCCGTTTCCGTCTGACCTCGCCTGATTCGAAACGTCCTCTAATTTCTCAAACACACACACATACACACAAGAGATTTGTCGGGAATCACTGGAACGTAAGCCGCAATCCGTAACTAGAGTGGACGTTCTAATACCGGTGGTACTTTGGTGTCAGACCTAATCCTGGCTTAGATCCCGCACCGCGGAGATGTTCTTCGGTTGGTGTCAATTGAGTTAAATACACCGTAAAGGCATGAGAGTCAGTTTTACCCGGAGGATTTCCGATAGATCGAAGCGAACTCGTAAATCGGAAATGTACAGTTGCATTTACGTAGAGACTCCAACTTTCTCTCATCGTTTAAATTGGAAAATTACAATCTGATGGACACTGCATAAAAGCACGGTATAAAAAAAATAATCTTACCTTGGATTTCCGCGTAGAGCTGCATGATGTAGAGCATTGAATCCGCTGTTGTTGGTCAGAGTTATGTCTGCGCTGTGATCTAGTAAAAGGGTTAACATGTCATCACGTTTCTTAGATATGGCGTCGTGTAATGGAGTATCGCCATCCCAGTCCTGAAAGCAGAACATTTCTTGTAATATATAATGTGTAACAAAACGCAACTGAGGGATAATAAAAAAGTAACAAAATGATAAAGTAGTTTTGTCGCTTCGTTACGAGAAGTCACGAATAAGGGTGGCAATTTTCGACGATGTGAAATTTAAAAAATGATGGAAATGTTAAAAATGTGAAGGTATTTGCAATGTTATACAGGACGTTTCTTAATAACATGCTAATATTTAAGGACCTATTGTTGGACCCATTTTAGGAAAAATACTTCATATGAATCTATCTCCGAAACGCCTTAACTTTTGAGATAGAGGACATTTTTAGAGGTACTTTTTTAACAATAATAGAGTTTCCCTACAGTTGATATTCAATCCCAAATGAAATCACATATACAAAAAATTTAAATGGGAATTTGTCCTTTTGAAATACGACGAAAATCAACTTTTCCTCATTATATCCAATAAAGCAGCTCTTATTTTTGCAGAATGTCATCGATTTTATGTACAAAAAAAATCACTTACGTACAACAGAAGTTCCGATAAGCAAAAAGAACAATTCGCTTATCGGCCAAAGAGCAGAAGTAATTCTCCGAACTAAACGGAAAATAAAATTTTAATGACCGTACAGTTTAATTCCATTCAATTTCGTTTCACAATTAAACGCGCGCTACTCGCTTTTTAGTTCTGGATATATTTCTTTCTGTTTTTTTTTACTGAAATTGCTTCTCGGTCGTAGCTTAAACATCGTAAAGTAACGTGTATAAATTCGATTTGATAAAAAGTTCAATTGAACCGTTATTATGAGATAAGCATTCGTTATTTGTACTTTTTCAACACCCTGCACATACTTTTCAAACAATAAAACACAAGCCACAAAAGTATAAGGTCTTGCGGTGGCGCCAGAACAAAAAAAAATTGGCATCATTACAAATAGTAGCTCAGTATTTCATCCAAAACCTCACTTCATAATCCATTCGGTATTTGTAGCGTGAAATACTGGTCGTTATTAGGTAGGTATTTGTTTTCAATCTAGCGCATAAGGAATTATTTATTCATACAAATTTGAGTAAAAAACTAAACAAATAATGCAAAGCTAATCGAAACACGGTCCATCAAAATCCATTTAAACTCACAAAAAATGGCAAATATACCCACGTTGCGATTCTTATTAAAATTTCACGCCGCCTGGCACATTTTGCGAATAACAAAGATTGGCATTAGCATTAACATCAAAGGTAATATACGATAACGGCACCGACGGCCGACCCAATAGTGTTTTTAAACAAAAACCCGAAATTGTCCATGTACATAAACATAACTCGACTGCGATATCCATTTCGCTCGTTATGCAAATAGCAGTCATATCTTCGCATTCGAATTCTTCTGATATGCGAGAAGCGGTCCGAGCGCGGCACGTATATGGATATGGATATGTATGCGTCCGTATACGTTATACGTGTGTAATACAATTTCCCATATTGATGGCAAAACGAAGGGATGAACAAGATAATGTGCATGATTAATAGCTAATACTCTAACGGGATTCTATTAGAAGGGATTCCGGTCCTTTGATCAATGACAAATTCAATAAGGCGGGCCCCGCCATTATTTAGAGATCCTAACTTCGGACAGACGTTTCGAAACGGTTTTAGAACTTGTGAACACATAAATTACTTACTACATTAATGTATCAATTTGTTGGTTAAATGGTAAATACAAGTAAAATCGTGTAAGTAGTAAGTGCATTATAAAAGCATAAAAACTGTGGTAACTCGAGAAATAAAAAAAAACAACGTATAAGAAAATTGTATTAACCGAGAATCGACGTTGCAACACAACCAAATTGTATTCGTTAAATGTTTTTCTCTTTTCCTCGCTGCCTGATTGCGGTGGAAAACGTAAGTAGGTACGCGCGACGTTTCGCTTGCGAGCAAAAGGATTTCCCAAAGAAAAGAAACAAAAATCCCTTCGGGCACTTTTCACGTAAACAGAACGTCATCAAAGTTATAATAATTGCCTCAATATGCTGCGATATTTTTTCATTTCGAGACAAAAACAATTTAATCTAGCATCACAATGATGCAATCTTCCTTTATCCTCGGGCCACTCAAAATGAAAAAGTCGCAATGGCTGAAAGTTGTGCCACCGAATTCGCGATGTGTTTGTATATTCAGAGTTGGTTTTCTTAAATAATAAAAACAAACATTTACCAACCGGTAAAAATTTTCCGCAATTAAAGAGGAAAAATAATGCATTTTAAAACAGCATAAAATTCGTACAAAAAATAAATTATGCATCTAAATAAACAAGTATTGTGAAATATAAAAAAGTTTATGCTTACAAGAATTCATATGCAAGGAATACTAAAAGAAAATAAGGACCAATTTACCTAATAAAAAGAAGCAAAACGCGGAGGTGCATTTTCCAGCATTATTTGATGCTAACAAGTCCATGAATAATAAATAATCCAAAAAAAATGAGCATCTGATCTATTAAAAAACTCCTCCAAAGATTTATCCTTGTATTTTATTACTGTGTCGTATCATTATTTTAAAGTAGATGCTGTACACTGTTTGCGTTTCGTATCGTCGCAGCAAAGAAAGACACGATGGCTGGATGCACAGCAACGCACCGATGGCTCCCTGATACATAGCTGCTTTATGTTTATGTACTGTAGCTTCTGCTTTGTTTTAATTCTCCGTTCTTTTGCCTAATTGACATAAGAATTAATTACCGAGTCCTTCTAAAAAGATTTACTCCGATTTTAATAAAGGCACCGAAATATTTGCATGCTCCAAAAGCGACACTTAATAACTATTTAATTACGATTTTAGACATCGAAATTTATAATTGCGAATGAACGGCAAACAAAGCGTAGAGCATTGAAATGCAATAACGAAGCGAGAGGTTTGTTTAATAGGAAAAATCGCGCGCTGTGTTTGATGATCATTCGCAAAAATTTCGCAGAGGTTAGTCATAAGAACGCGGGACAGATAAAAAGGGAAGTATATCAAGATATGAGGGCAATAAAAGATATTAAGTACGATTTATATTACGCAATAACAATTCATTTCAACTTCTGTAATAAACTGCCAAGGGATTCTTAATTACCGAGATCGGCGTTTTCAACTGTCCGACAATTCGGCTGGCAAATGTGCAATGTATGAGGATATCCTATACAATAACCTTTTTATTGCCACACGCTTTATGAAATTTGATATGTAGTAAATTACACGTAAACGCTAATAATGAAACAAGCGTAGACTATAAAAAATAAAATACTGGTACTTCTATCCCATGAAATCGTCGTTTCGAAAATTAAATACATAGTAAATGACGAAAAGATTGTATATGAGCCCCACAAAACTAATAGCTGCAATTTACTATAAGTTTCCACGTATTTCTACATTAGCCCCTATCAGTTTAATGTCTTCGTAACCTAGAACAAATATATCGATGTACCTCCCCTATAGCAGATCGCTTTATCCTAACTCAATTAATATCTCGTCTTAATGTATTTGCCCTTCGAATATTTGCGTTGGGAATGACTCCCGTCCCCGGGCCACAGCCATTTCCAGCAAAAGTATACCCGATATACCCGACACATCCCATACGCGGGTCGGGTCCCGGCTCTCTCTAAATTTCATTCCAGAAAGTATTTCCACACAACGCCAGGCAACTTCGCCGAAACTTCGGCCATTGAATTACGCCGGCAGAGGATGAGAAACTTCCAAGATGACAATTACTGGGAGCTCCAGGTTACATTTTAAGTTCGCCCAAGTACCGTTATTGGAAGATTAACAATAAAAAGTTCGATACCAAACTGCCGAGATAGACAAATTTAACTTTGCTTGGTCATTATTGGGAATTGGAAATCAATGGTGGTATCACGCTACAAATTTTTGGGTGTATTGAGGAGTTAGTTACAAAGTAAATATGTAGGAATCTTTTGCAGAAATTAATGAGAGTAAAGTTTTTTATTATTACATGAATTTGACATTTGTCATATACATTCAAAATTCTAACGAACTTCCATAATGCTAAAGAAAAAACAATGTTTAGTATTGTTCAATAGTGCATTTATTAGAAAAATATCAGAATCAGGTAACAACAAGAGATTAGCGAGACTGAAATATCTGCAAGAGTGGTATCAAAAGGACGATGGTCTTCCTGTTTGGATGAAATCGGCAACGGATAGATTATTGTTCAAAATCACATTTTTAGGATGTCTCTGTGGCCTTACAATGGGACTCTATACGGTAATTTGGGAGCTGTCGATTCGCAAACGGTTTTTCAATGATAGTAAATAGAATTTTTAGTTGTTAAACACTGTAAATATCGAAATTTATACGTATAAAAAATGCGAATAAACGTTAACAGTAATCATTTTATTTACCTCAATTTCCAAGACAAGCCGTTTTAATCGGGAAAGAAACGCTTCTTAATTGATAATTCCCAGATAACAGTATATAATCCCATCGCAAGACCGATTGCGACTCCTGCTAGAGATATTTTATACAGCAATATATCGTTTGGCGTTTTTCGCCACACCGGCTCCCCTTCATTGGATTGATAAATTTTTTGCATTTTCTTTATTTTTAGCAATTTCGGGTTTGGGACAGGTTTTTCGGGTACTTTTAATTTTGGCTTCATAGGAATACTAGGCGGAGGAGTTTTCTTCGGCGGCTTACCGCACATAGTTCTTCTAAATGCGATATTCGATATTCGTAATACATTGGCTGGTATCATTTTGCACAATGTACAAATATATTGTCAAATCGGGGACGTTTCAATGTAACATCTGACGTAAATTAAAGTTCGTGAACCAAACAATCGCAAGCTGATCGTTATTGGATGGTAAATTAGCTACTACGAAATATCGAGTGAGGGCACTTCTCGCGAAATTAGGCGCCGGGATAAGAGTCAAATTCCGCCGGTATTTTTATAATCCTTCAGAGGCACGTTCGCCCCCAACGAGGACCTTTCCTCATTTTCAGCCGCTCGGTTTATGATCGTCACTCAACCGGTCCTGCTTTGTTCTGGATTACCGTCGAATTTATCGCTAACAAGATTGAACGTCCAAGAAGAACGCCAAAGGGGAGAAAAGATTTAAAAGATATTGTCGATGTAATCCACCTAATATCCAGAATTGAAACGTAAATTAATTAAAAAAAAAGGGAACAAACTTAAGAAGCTAATTGCAATTTCACCCCAATGAGAACCCACTCGAAATTTTTTCGAAATTAACAGCTTAATTGTCGGGCACCGAATAAAGCGAAATGTATACAGGAATTTCGTCGAATAAAAATTCTATTCCGCCATTTCGAAAATTCGCAACCATTGAAAAGTTCCGCTGGCGACCAAGCCGGCAGGATGTTGCGAGGATACGGCAGCAGGAAACCACGTGATTGCCGCATTGTTGTTGATGGTGTTGCCGAAGTGAGTGGATGGAAGGTTTTATGACGTGCGAGGAAATGCAGAAAGGAAAAGGATAAGTGAGGCGGTATCGATCCGCTCATTTTCCCAGATAACAAAAGTCATATCCCGGTCTTAACGATAAACGCTGTTAAATAAATGAAATATTTATTAGGTAATCTTCGGGCGAATGTAAAGGGGGTAAATTTGGTTTGTATAACGAGTGTTGATACCATGCCAAATTTCGGCGTAATCGAGTAAGGAGTTAATAATCTAACGTTGCGCATTGCACCGGTAATTAGAAATCGTAAAACTAATAAACCACAAAATCATCGAGTCGATACGTCGGCATCACGCGTGCCATAAAACCGGATTCGGATTGGGTCGCATACCGTTGGAAGTTCGACGTCGGTGGATTAGCCGTTCGTTCCGTAATTATTGCCTTTCGGTTTATTCGTTATCTAATTTGTTGTTCTGGTCTTTCAGCGCCATTTACGGCTCACGCAATTACCTTTCGAGTCGCTTCGTTCTCCATTGTTTCTACAACATTGGTCGCGTCTGACGAATTTTATCGCTGACGCCGGGTTCGGGCTCCTACGAGCGATTTCGGCGCTATCTTTTTTTTTATGGATTGCTTTTCCGCCGGAAAAGAAAATCATGCCCGGCACGCAACTTAATGGTTTAATTACGATAATGGGTTGACCTATCTGCTATTTCTTTAAATACCTACTTTAAATATTCGCAATACAAGCCTTTCTCGAAATGAAAATTAAACGAAACAAGGTTATTTAATATTTAGTGCGTAGGCGGTTTAAAATATCTCGAAAATTTATATAACCTAAACATAAATTTCCGCCCACCTTCGAATGAACCGGTAACCTAAGCCTAAAAGCTAATGAATTTTGCCGATCCGCATGATTAGACAAAACGAGCAATTCGCCCGGATGACTGACCCTTTCATAAAAGCGAATAATCAAAAGTAAAGGCTAACAACCGTGGGGGCCATCGCGGAGAAAAGGGACCGGGTTCCATCGAATATCAACGGCTCACCGACCGGGGTGATATGCCGCGCCTTTACATAGCCGGGCCCGAGCTTAATCTGAGGGGCGGTTGCAGGCAAAGCAGCTTTATTGTTAGCTAAATGTCTTTAGTTCGAGTCGAAGTGTGCTTTAGAACCCATTTTGCTCTGGTAATTTTTCGAAGTGTGGCAGCTTTTAAAACCCATTAGTCGTTTATGGTGTGCTGAAATTACACTTTCGAAATACTTACTGCACTATTAGCTTTTCCGTATAATACCATCCGAAATTCTGTAGCTCATACACCACCGATAGTTACCGCGTGGTATTGAAAATTTAATTGAGTCACCAAAAAAAATTTAACCAACCAAGGCTCAATTAACACTGCCGGTTGTTTAATGAAAATTAATTCTAAATTATACCTCTATATGAATTCAAAAACGAGTTCAATAATCATATTTAAGCAGTCTCGTTTCGTCAACTCGGGACGTCGAATTTTCCTCTAATCTTTTGAGATTTCAACGTATAAATTAATTATCTCGGAATATTATTAGACTAGAGGCTAATTAAAATATTCATGTCTCGAGAATACCGAGCTGACAGACAAATGAAATTATTCTTCCGAGCGCCATTGTTGCCATGACAGTAAGATATATTAGCAATTTTGCATTTCGAAAAACACACCAGGAAGCGCGAAACGCTGGAATAAATGGTTCTAATTTTTTTTGAGAAAAAAATACATAACTCTTTATAAATTGACTATATTTAAACCTTCGATCTGGTGTATGAATGATATTAAAAATATCTAGGAACAGATTATTTTAGTCGTTTTATTGCGATCCAAACCGTTGCCAAAACCGTCCATCAATATCGCGTAACGGCGTGTTTCTAAATAATTTGTATTCATGTTTTTCTTGAAAGGCACCATTTGGAATAAAACGCTAATGATCGCATTGCAAAATAAAAGCGGCCGCCAAATGAAGCTTTTATGCTGAATTTTAAATGAAATGTTTACAGTTAAGGAGCTGGCAGCTCAATCGCGAACACCGAAAATAATGAAGGATTTTCCTCGAATAATCAACCAGACTTTCTAAATATTACGACCGTATATACGGTTTATTTAGTTAACGCCCTTTCATAATATTGGTCGCGCTGGCGCTGTAATTAAATATTTAAAATATAAAAAATATAATTAAAATTCTGCTACAATGAATTAAACGCGTGATAGAAAAAAATCAGTGAAAACCAACTCCATTCGATTCGAAATAGGGACATTAGGTATCCAATTCCAACGAAAAATCGAAAAAAAAAAAGATTAAAACAGCCCGGTTAGGCAATCTCACTAAAGCCTTGTACGTTTCACGATAAAAAAAAGGTCGGGAGAAGCTAAAAAAACTTCTTCAAGTTAATTATTCTCTAGAAAGGTACTTAATTAAATGAACAATCGTATTTATTCAAAGAAGTCGGGACTCAAGTACCCCCGCTGGGTGTCAGTTAGATTTTCTCTCCTTCCATAAGAAACACGCCAAGGAAAAATAACCGATAACCAGAGAAGGGGAAAACAGAGGGATTCAGAATTAATTTTTTTTAAACAAACACTAAAAATAAATTTTAATATACGCACAAATACATCCCAAACAAAAATATTTCGCTTCCACGACAAATAGCATTGTTTGTGAACGCAATTATGCGAAACCCTTTCAGGCACAAAGGGCCCGGAACAAAAACGAAATCAACAACACTAAAATATATTTCTTCCTTTACACCCGATGAAAAACTGATAATCCCCGTTTTTAGAAAGCTTTTCGTTTTCCTTAATTCAACCGAGTCGTACAATTCGCGGAATTGTAGAATTGATGGCCCAGTTTAAGCTCGATCTAAAGTAAATTAAGTCCGCCGGATCTCCATAGAGTGCAGCTATAATTTACCGACGCAGAAGACAATGTAACGAATCTTTGTTAAGGAAGGAAGACCGGAAACTAAGCCGGCCCGGGAACAGTGTTGTCGCTGTAATTTAGTTTAGAGGAATTTTCTGTTGATCTGTCGGTTATATTTTAGAAAATTCAAACGTATACCCAGCTATTTAGGTTTACGTACAATTGGTACATAAAAAATTGGAGGCTGTAAAAATACTCCTAATTATGTTTCTGTTGATTGTTTCATATTGTGCACATAAATCTCATTTTCGCAAACGAACCACCTGAAATCGTAAATTTTTTTACGACGGATTAACTCATACCGTTTCATTTCACGAAATCGGAACGACTCGTTCCGGCAACGAAATTAGTGTTTTCCCAAGGAGTGGACGAAACGGATGTTCAGGTTCCGAACAGCAGGTGCACGAAAACGACTCGGTATTTACGAATTGCTTCGAGCAAACTAATTTAGTTTCCCTCGAATAGTTGACTACAGAAAATTATAAACAATACATTCATTTTTATTCTCTCGTTATTAATTATTCATAAGAACACCGCACACTAACCTATTCGCTCATTAGTATCTTTAATAATTAAAATTTGGGTTTTAGTTCGGGTCGTCTTGCGTTCAACATCAAAGAATATTCATTCAATTAAATATCTTCAAAACATACGGATCCCGGAGCAAGACGGGCGCATTTGCCGGCTACATCGGGAAATTACCTACGCTCTTTCGAGGATGCTACATTCTAATTTTTGGTACATGGAAACGGGCGAACCACATGTTATGCTCCGTCTGGTCTTACAATTTTCCGCGAGGAGCGGCTTTCCTCAAATTGGAGTGGTCGATCATTGGCGTGGTAGGTGACTGTTTCTACTAAACTACTAATTGAAGCATTAGGGTAATGCAGTAGCATAATTTTTATCACGTTATATTGGAATAATTCAAATTATATTTTCTAAATTCTTAGGAGGAATAATAGGAAGAGCAGTGGTGATTTTTTTTCTCCATAAATCCTAATTTAAGATATATTTATTCAGTTTGTTCGGTTATAATATTTTCTTTCGAATGTGTAGATTTGAAGAGCTGCTTTGTGGAAAGTGAAAACTTACTGTTAAACCGTATAATTTTCGGTATTACTTCCATTACACAGTTATTCGCATTTTTGTTAAATATATTTTGTCAGATTTCAGTTTGACAAACTCACATCCGACGTTTTATTATCATCTCGACAAGCAGATTCGTTTAGCTGGTATAATGCTAGAAAATAAAAAACTCGGATGTGCCACTGTTTCCAGTAAACGA